GTAACATTTCTTACTGAATTTTCTGAGACATGGTGTATTCCTTCATAAGAACATAAGATTTATCTGGTAACAGTGGTTACTTCCCAAACTTACATCTGCTGCCAGGACAGTGGCTGCAGTGATGCATCTGTGCAAGCGTGGAAGTGGGCACCTGAACCTGACATGAAGGTTTGGGACACAAGCAGCTCATCTCCTTGCTGGGAAGTGATTATCATTTCACCAGGAAGTACGGCGGCAGTGTCTGCAAAGGGAGTGGAGAGTTTCTCTGGAAAACAAGGGAGGAGTGAGCAAATTACAGAGGGTTACTCAAACAGATTAATGGGGATGTCCATTGAGAAAGACTCAAGAGCTAGAGGAGAAAAGGATCCATGAATCCTGGGAACAGATGTGTTGACTAGGAGACACTGAGTTCTAAGATGTGAGAAAATTTAAGTAGAGCCCATGGCTATGCTGGAAACTTGGCTACCATGAAATTCTTGTTTCTTCAAAGTGGGAATCCTTTTCATTCATCACAACTCTGAGGAAAAACAAACCTGGAGGGAAAGGAATGGCAAGGTGAGAGTAGAACGATGTGGAAGAATGTGGAAGGAAAGCTTCAACAAACATTCACCGAGTATCTCATCTGACTCAGGTTCATCCAGACAGGTGTCATACATCAGGGAACAAAGAAATGTGTCCCCATACAGCCTTCATTCAAACTGAGGGGAGTAGCCAATAGTTACAAAGAAAACATATAATACAGTAAATTATAAGGTGACACGTGTGCAAATATAAAACAGAGCAGCAATGAAAATGACAAGCATGTGGAGTCAGGAGGATTTCAAGGAAATAGAGGGCTCAGCGTTGTTCTCATTGTGGAGACGGTATTGCAGCACACAACTAGAGGGCGGGAGAGAGTGACTTGTGAGGATATATGGGGAAGATGTTCCTTGGAGAAGAAATAGACGGTATAAGGTCCCAAGGGCAAGAGCGGGGCTGGAGTTCCAGACTATTCATGTGGCGATGGTGCCCATTCCAGGGTGGCTGGTAATGTTTTGGAGGGTGTTTTAATAAACCATACAGAACACTTCCCATATGTTCACATTCCCGTAAGTGCATCCACAGGCCTGTACACCAGACTTTCTCATCAACTACCTTCTCGACTCTTCCTTCTTTGCCAGGGCAGATCGGCTGCTGCCCTGGGATCTATATATGTTGCCACCTCGGGATACTTATTATTCCACACAAAATGGATGACCAGCTCACAGCTCCACCCATTGGGAAAGTTTGTCTTCTCCACTGTCTTTCCAGGACATCCTGATTGTAGCTGTGACGCAGCCTCCACTAATTTCTACTTCCCTCACAAATCAAAGCGACCCAAGCAGAACCCAAGCTCAGGCTTTCTCCTCCCCTTAGCTGGCTGTGCAGATCACCCAGGATACCCAGGATACTGCAGTGAGCTGTTCCTACCGTGCTGGGGTCTCCCCTACCTGCTCATGCAGCCTGCTTGTGTTCTCTGGAGTTGATCTGGCTCGATCCTGCCTGTACATCTCTCCTGTACAATGGAATTCAGCAGTGCCCGTCTGACTATGACTTAGATGGTCCAAGAGAACTCTCCTCACAGTGGGTCGTTCTGGATGCATGGAGATGATGCCCCGTATTTCAGTCTTCTGTTATTATGTGGGCACAATGACACAAGTTGTTTCATAGTGATTTATAAATCTGTACTGCAAGTGGCATGGACTTCCTCCAGAGCCTCAGCAGCCTGCACTACGATTCCCTGGATGGGACTTGTTAACACCCTACACTGCATCCTTCTCCACCACAGACACCATCCACACCAAGGAGTCTGCGGAATCATATTGCTGCAGTGGCAGGACTGCTTGTGCCACAGCCCAGACATGTGCCGACTTCTTCCTGCTCTAGGAAGCCATCAAGCTGGCCCATCTTCCATGCCCCCTGATGGATACATAGTATTCCTGTTGTGGAAATGTTGCCTCTTGATGTCAAAGCAGCCTACCAGACACTGTGCTTCATTTTATACCTTCATTTATTTATTTAGCAAGAAGAATCAAGTAACACACATTAGAATGGCTAGTATTAGAAAGACTGATTACAGAAAGTGTTGGTGAGGATCTTGAATACTCAAATTCTTACACACTACTGGTGGAAATGTGAAATTCTATGACCACTTTGGAATGGTTAGGCAGTCTCTTAGAGACAAAAATATTAACCTGCCATCTGACCCAGGCATTATACTCCTAGATATTAACTCAAAAGACTAAAACATATTTTTATATAAAGCCTTGATATAAATGTCTATGGTAGATTTATCCGTAATACCTCAAAACTGAAAACATAAAATTAATAAAATAGATTACTGGATAAAACATTGTATTCTATCCATACAACAGATTACTCAGTGATAAAAGAATAAACTAATCATACACACAACAATAAAACTCAAGATAATTATGCAGTAGGAAAGAAACCACAAAAAATGGAATAAAGATTTGCTTTATTCAACCTCACATCTACAGACAGCTAATATTTGACAAAGGTGCCAAGAAAATACAACTGAGAAAAGACAGTCTGTTCAATAAATGGTGTTGGGAAAACTGGACAGCCACATGCAAAAGAATGAAAGTAGCCCATTATCTCACACCGTACACAAAAATACACTCAAAATGGATCAAAGACTTGAAGCTAAGTCCTGAAATCATAAAACTCCTGGAAGATAACATAGGTAGTACACTCTTTGACATCAAGCTAAAAAGAATCTTTTCAAATATCACGTCTTCTCAGACAAGGGAAACAAAATAAAAAATAAACAAGTGGGAGTTCATCAGATTAAAGAGCTTTGGCAAGGCAAAAGAAACTAGAAATAAAACAGAGACAACCCACCAATGGGGAGAAAATATTTGCAAATCATATATCTGACAAGGGGTTAATCTTCCCAATATATAAGGAACTCACACAACTGAACAATAAAAAAACAAACAACCTGATCAAAAAGTGGGCAGAGGATACAAACAGACATTTTTCCAAAGAAGATATACAGATGGCCAATAAACACATGAAAAGATGTTCAACATCACTAATCATTAGGGAAATGTAAGTCAAAACTACACTAAGATACCGTCTTACTCCTCTTAAATAGCAAATGTTGGAGAGGGGGTGGAGAAAAGGGAACCCTCATACACTGCTGGTGGGAATGCAAACTGGTGGAGCCACTATGGAAAACAGTATATGGAGATGCCTCAAAAAACTAAAAACAGAACTACCGTACAGCCCAGCTATCCCACTTCTGGGTTTCTACCCAAGCAACTTGAAATCAACAATCCAAAGTAACACATGCACCCCTGTTTGTTGCAGCACTCTTCACAATACCCAAGACTTGGAAACAATCCAAGTGCTCATCCACTTATGATTGGATAAAGATGTGGTATATACATAAAATGGAATACTACTCAGCCATAAAAAAGGACAATTTCATCCCATTTGCAACAACATGGAAGGACCCAGAGGGAATTATGCTGAGTGAAATAAGCCAGACTGAGAAAGACAAACACCAGATGATTCCACTCATTTGTGGAATATGAACAAACACATGGACAAAGAAAACAGTTCCATGGTTACCAGGGGAAGGGAAGTAGGGGGTGGGCACAGGCAGTGAGGGGAGCACTTATGTGGTGACAGTCAAGAAACAATGGAGAACTGAAATGTCATATTGACGTAAACTATTATGAACTCAACAAAAAAAAAATCACAGGAAAGGGGCTGGCCCTGTGGCCCAATGGTGAAGTTCACGCACTCTGCTTCAGTGGCCCAGGGATTAGCCAGTTCAAATCCTGGGTGTGGACATGGCATTGCTCATCAGGCCATGCTGAGGTGGCATCCCACATGCCACAACTAGAAAGACCCACAACTAAAAATACACAACTATGTACCATGGGTCTTTGGAAGAAAAATGAAAAATAAAATCATTTTTAAAAAAATCACACAAAAAAAGATTTGCTTTATTTAAAATTCTAGAAAAGGAAAGAATCTATATAGAAATAAAGTCAAACAAATGGTTGTCTAGGGAACAAAGACCACGGAAGGCAGGGAGGAGGAGATTCGCTGGGGGCAGGATGTAATGTGCGGAAAGACTGTTATGTTCATTTTATTCATGATGCTGGGTTTACCAGTGTGTGTTTGCATGTGCACTTGGATCTGTTTTTGTGGGCTGGGTGGGATGAGAATGTCCTATCCACATACACATACATAGTTTTTTACAAATATATTTCAAAGTTTATGGATTAAATATGTGCTATTTAATGTGTAAATCATACCTCATTAAGGTGTTGGAGAATTGTTTCTACATAAAATTCTGCATTTCCCACTTTGCTTGAAAGCCCAGGAGATTTGAAATCACTGTACAGTTTTCTTAAAGCTAAATTTATTCAATACCATAATGATTCCCACTTCTCCAAGTTATTGTGAGAATTAAAAAGAAAATACTCAAAAAGTAAGAACTCAGTGTGTTTTCTTACTTTTATTGATCCTCAGAGGCCAAGGGAAATGCTATCATGACCTGCACATCACAGTCGGTAAACTGAGCCTCGAGTAGCTCCAGCATGCCACCGAGACATTCCCTAGTGGGGAACCCAGTGAGACCTCAGTACGCTACAGCCACTCCTGCCTACAGGGACAAAGAGGTGCCTTGCCCCTGACTGTCACTGCACACAGGTGGAGAAGACAGGTGCAGCTGCTGCAGAGTGAATGGGCACCTCGGCTCTTCGCCTCTTCCAATGGCCCAGGCAAAAGGTCACCTCTAGTTCCCATTTTATACAGGAGGAAACGGTCATTTTCTGTAAGCTCCAGCAATGGATGGGGATCTGAGATTGAAACTCTGGCACCCTGGGGTGTTTGATCACTGCCCTCCTCTTCCCCTCCCCATGGGGCTTTGAGCATCCAATCCATCCTGATGCCACCAAGTCCCCCATCTGCTCCAACCTACCAATGACAGATGAGGAAAATGGGCAAACACCACAAGGCAAGACTTTATTGTATTACTGAATGTCTGGACTTAAGAAACAGATGGGGAATGTATTAACACAAATTAGTATTTAAAAAGTATGATGTATGTGTCCATTACATTGTGCAAAGCATAAAAAATTTTGAAGAAAATTAGGATATATTCTTCCAGTACTGAAAGTTATTCCATTATAAAAGGAAGTCACTCGTGTATTTGAGAATGAGTAAAATTCCAACACACATCTTTGTTGCTTCAGTCCTATTTGTCAAAGAAAAGGGAAACAGCCAAAGTTCATAGAGGAATAAGAAAAAGATATCAGCAGACATTTTATCACAAACATATAGGCAGCAAACGAACATCTGAAAAACTGCTCATCAGGAATCCTTAGGGAAATGCAATTAAAACAACAGTGAAATAGCACAAAAAGGTGGTAAAAAGGCCAAATTAGAAATGATTCACCGGGGCTGGCTCCGTGGCCCAGTGGTTAAGTTCACATGCTCTGCTTCAGCAGCCCAGGGTTTTGCCAGTTTGGATCCTGGGTGCAGACAAGGCACCGCTCATCAAGTCATGCTGAGGTGGCGTCCTGCATGCCACAACTAGAAGGACCCACAACTAAAAATACACAACTATGTAACAGGGAGTTTTGGGAGAAAAAAGGAAAAAAATAAAAATGATTCACCACATTTGGTACAGCATAAGGACTTTCTACATTGTGAATTCTCCAGTGGTAAATGAGAGCCGAGTTTTAGGAAATCATTTTTGACATTCCCTGCACTCATTAGGCTTGATGCAGCATCAACAATCGATGTGGAGTAAACATAGCTAAAGAATTTTCCACATTTGCTTGGCTCCTAAGAACTTGATCCAGTGTCAAGTCTCTCATGTTGACAGAGTGCAGAGCTTTGGGTTAAAGATTTCCCACATTGGGTGCGCTCACAAACCCTTACTCTAGTATGAACTCTCTGGTGTTGAGTCTCAAGCTAAAGGCAAAACATTTTCCACATTCACTATACTCATAAGGCCTTTACCCAGTGTGGACTCTCTGGTGTTTACTAAATTGGGAACTATCCCTAAATGACTTCCCACATTCAGTGCACTCATAAGGCCTTTCTCCAGTGTGAACTCTCTGGTGTTTATTGCAATGTGAACTACTCATGAAAGATTTCCCACATTCACTGCACTTATAAGGCCTTTCTCCAGTGTGAATTCTCCGGTGTTGAGTAAGTGTCGAGCTATTGGTATATGATTTCCCACATTCACTACACTCAAAAGGTCTTTCTCCAGTGTGAACTCTCCAATGCTTTTTGAGTTGGGAAGGATCCCTAAACAATTTCCCACATTCACTGCACTCGTAATCCCTTTCTCCAGAGTGAACTCTCAGGTGGTCATTGAAATGTGAACTATTCCTGAAGGATTTCCCACAGTCACTGCACTTATAAGGCCTTTCTCCTGTGTGAATTCTCCAGTGTCGAATAAGTGTTGAGCTATTAGTATAAGATTTGCCACATTCACTACATCTATAAGGCTTTTCTCCAGTATGAACTCTCCAGTGTTGAATAAGATGAGAATATCCTCTAAAGGATTTTCCACATTCACTGCACTCATAAGGCCTTTCTCCAGTGTGAACTCTCTGATGATCACGAAGGGTGCTCCTAATGCTAAAAGATTTCCCACATTCACTGCACTCATATGGCCTCTCTCCTGTGTGAACTCGCTGGTGTACAACAAGACTGGATTTTTGGATAAAAGATTTTCCACAGTCACTGCACTCATAAGGCCTTTCTCCTTTGTGAACTCTCTGATGATTACTGAGGTTGGTATGAGATGGAAAAGATTTCCTAAATTCGCTGCACTCATAAGGCCTTTCTCCTGTGTGAACTTTCTTATGATGATAACTGAGGGTCCTCATGGTGGTGAAAGATTTCCCACATTCACTGCACTCATAAGGCCTCTCTCTTGTGTGAACTCGCTGGTGTCTAACAAGATGACATCTTTGGATAAAAGATTTCCCACATTGACTGCATTCATAAGGCCTTTCTCCTGTGTGAACTCTCTGATGATCACTGAGGTTGGAACCAGATGAAAAAGATTTCCCACATTCACTGCACCGATGAGGCCTTTCTCCAGTATGAACTCTCTGATGAGAATGGAGTTGGGAGACAGAGATAAAGCACTTCCCGCATTCATTGCACTCATAAGGCCTTTGTTTAGTGTGAATTCTCTGATGACAACGGAGGCCAGGAGGAGAGAGAAAAGACTTCCCACACTGACTACATTCATAAGACCTTTGTTCACTATGTACTCTCTGGTGTTGAGTGAGGTAAGATGGATGGCTAAAAGATTTCCAACATTCACTGCACTCATAAGGCCTTTTCCCTGTGTGTACTCTCTGGTGTAGAATCAGTATCGAGCTGTTGTTAAAAGATTTCCCACATTTACCACACTGAAAAGGCCTTTCCCCCATGTGTACTCTCTGATGGAGAATGAGTACCGAGCTGTTGGTAAAAGATTTCCCACAATCGCTGCATTCATAAGCGTTTTTTCCAGTGTGAACTCTCCAGTGTACAATGAGATAAAATTTCCGTTGAAAAGATTTCCCACACTGAGTGCACTCATAATGCCTTTTTCCTGTGTGAACTGTTCGTTGTCGAATAAGGATAGATCTATGGCAAAAAGACTGTGCACATTCACTGCACAAGTAATTTTCTCCAGAGTAGCTTCTCCAGGGATAAATGAGGACAGATTTTCGGTTAAAGGATTGTCCACATTTGCTGCACTTGCACTGCCTCGCTCCAGAATGAATTTTTTTATGCTGACTGAAGGTTGAGGTTCGCCTAAAAGATTTGCCACATTCTCCACACACATAAAGCCTTCTTCCAGTGTGGACTCTCTGGTGAACAACAAATGAGGATTTGTACCTGAATGCTTTCCCACATTCACGGCACACAAAACACTGTCTTCCACTGTGGACACCCTGGACCTGAACAAGTGTGTGTTTGGGACCAAAAGATTTCTTGCACTCTCCCCAGGTGAAATGACCTTTCCTGCTTTGTAAAGTGGCCCTACACTGGGTGATTTTGGTTGGCTTCTCAGTGTTGTGAGTGGCATATTGGTGGAGATATCCAGAGGTGGCCACAAAGTCCTTCTCAACTTCCTCGTGGGTAAAGGGATTCTCTGACAAATGGAATCTGCAGCTCTTCACAAGCAAGGCCATGTCCATACTGCTTCTGAAGGGCTTCTCTCTGATGTGCTGCTTCTGGTATTTTTGGAGGTTTGCACTGAAATAAAATAGTTTTGTACACACCTCACACGCAAACGTATTCTGACTGTGTTGTGTTCCCTGGTGGTCAGCCAATTGAAAAATATCTCTGAAGACCAGACTACATGACTCACAGGTGTGGGTATTCTGTGAAATCAGACCTGTCTTGGGAGTCGTGGCCTGTGACACACCTACAGAAATGCTGTGTTCAAAGGGAGCCTTCGCATCCTCTGTTGCACTCCAGCAATCTGAAAACAAAGAAACCCTGGTGAAGCACATGTTGACTTTAAAGGGAGGGAGAAATCCATCACAAATGTGCATCTGTCACATCTAGGAAGGGGTCTACGGAATGCTTTTCCATACAAGGGAGCTGGAATCCAATTGGGGAAGTGGCTACAGGGCATCACCGGGTCCCTAAGGCAAAAGAATGATGAAGACCTCACCAGGGAAGAAGATAAGGATAAGCTGTGACACAAACAAAAAGGTATATTTTAAAACTTGTTCCTTTGAAAAGGATTCCTGCAGGACCTTTACTGCTGGTGATATGAGGCTGTATAAAAGCATATGTCCTGGGGCTGGCCTGGTGGTGCAGCAGTTAAGTGTGCACACTCCGCCTCGGCAGCCCAGGGTTCGCCTGTTTGGATCCCAGATGCAGACATGGCACCGCCTGGCAAGCCATGCTGTGGTGGGTGTCCCACATATATAAAGTAGAGGAAGATAGGCATGGATGTTAGCTCAGGGCCAGTCTTCCTCAGCAAAAAGAGGAGGGGATTGGCAGCAGATATTAGCTCAGGGCTAATCTTCCTCAGAAAACAAAAATAAAAAAGCATGTGTCCAAACCCAGGGAAAAGCAATTGCAATAGAATAGCTGCTTTTCAAGACAATGTAAAAATGTGGCACATGTGACCCAATGTTGCAAAGCAATAGATGAAAAGTTATGAGAGAAATGGGTGAGGTATGAAGTACACAGAGGTCAAGATTCTCCCTGGGTTAAAAATCAGAGTGGAAAAGACAAGTAGGAGAACTGACTAGAAGACAAAGCACCAACCACGGGGAAGGAAAAAGTAGAAATGATGTGTGGCACTGCAATGACAACAAAACACTAGTTAAATGATCTGAACACAGTCCTGGGTCACACCCTCCCAAACCACAACAGGTCGAGGTACCTATGAATCCACCCTGGAACCTTGGCTATTGAGAATCCCTACAGTTTCTGTCACCATTGATCTCAGCTGATGGAGCTGCAGTGATTACATGGCTTATCCCTCCCCAGAGCCAAAATTGCCACACTGCACACAGTCACCTCACAACCAACACAAGGCGAAGGCCTTTCCCCACCAAAACCAACTGCTAAAGGTTGGAAGAGGTGACTGATTCATCAAATGGGGAAACATTAACAAAAGGCTATAAGGAACATGTAAATCAAGGAAACACGACATGACCAAAGGAGCACAAGAAGTTTCAAGCAACTGAACCCAAAGAAATGCTGATCTACAAACTGCTGGACAAAGAATTCAAAATAATTGTTTTAAGGAAGCTCAGCAAGAGCCAAGAAAACACACAGACAACTCAGTGAAATCAGGAAAACGTATATGAACAAATCAAAAAGGTGAGATTTAGAAATTATTAAAAAAAAAGATCAAACAAATTCTGAAGTAGTAAAATACAATGAACAAAATGAAAAATGCAATAAGGAGCATCAACAACCAATTCAATCAGGCAGGTAAAAAATGTGTGATCTTCATTCAGGTCATTTCAACTCATCCACTCAGAGGAGAAAAACGACTGAAGAGACTACATAAATTATGGGATGCCATCAAGGGAAATAATATGCGCATCATGGGAGTGCCACAGGGACACATGAGGGAGAAAAGGGCAGAAAGCTTATTTAAAGAAACAGTGGCTGAAAACTTCACAAATCAGAAGATGGATGTGGACATCCATGCACATGATGCTCAAAGGTCCCCATACAGAGCTCATTATCTAGACACATTATAACAAAACTTGCAAAAATCAAAGACAAAGAGAATTTCAAAAGCAGAAAGAGAAAAGAAACCCATCGTATACATGGAAACTCCCATAAGGATACAAGCAGATTTCTCAGCAGAAACTGGGCTGACTAGGAGATGGTGAAATGAGAAATTCAAAATGCTGAAGGAAAAAAAATGAGAAAAGAGAATGCTTTATCCATCAAAGCTGTCCTTGAAAATGAAGGAGAGATAAAGACTTCCCTAGGCAAACAAAAGCTGAGAGAATTCATCACCACTCTATCGGCCTTACCAGAAATGCTAAAGGGAGTTCTTGAAGCTAAAATGAAAAGACGCTAATTACTAATAGGAAAATACAAACCACACTGTTAACGGCAAGTATATAGTCAAATTCAGAACACACCAATACTGTAACATGGTGGTATGTAAATCACCTAACTCTAGTATAAAGGATAAAGACAAAAATATTAAAAACGACTGTAGTCAAAATAATTCTTTTTTTTCCCTTTTTGAGGAAGATTAGCCCTGAGCTAACACCGGTGCTCGTCTTCCTCTACTTTATATGTGGGAGGCCTCCCACAGCACAGCTTGACAAGCAGTGCATAGGTCTGCACCCAGGATCTGAACCAGCAAAACCCGGGCCACCGAAGCAGAACATGAGAACTTAACCTCTGCGCCACTGGGCCAACTCCCACAATAATTTCTTAATGGTTACACAATATAAAAACAAATAAACTGTGACATCAAGAAGATAAAATGCACGGGGGTGGGAAACTAAAAAGGTACTTTTTTGTGATTAAGTTGCTATCAGCTTAAAACAGACTGTTTTAAGAAAAGTGCCTGGTACCCACAAAGCAAAAACCTACAAAAGATAAAGAGAAAGGAATCAGAGCATACCACTATGGAAAATCATCAAACCACAAAGGAAGACAGGAAAAAAGAGACTATAAAAGAACCAGAAAACAATTAAAGAGATGGCAATTGACAAGTCCTTACAAAATTCTCCAAAGACACACAGTGGCTGACCAGATAAACAAAAAAAGATCCAAACACATGTTGCCTACAAAAGACACACTTTAGCTCTAAGGACACAAAGAAACTGAAACTGAAGCAATCCAAAACATTATTCCATGCAAATGGAAATGAAAAGAAAGTAGCTTATACTTATAGGTGGCTATATTTATAACAGACAAAATAGACTTGACCTCAAAACCTGTCATAGGAGACAAAGAAAGTCATTAGATAGTGATAAGTCAATTCACCAAGAGGATGTAACAATTATAAGTATACATGCACATAACATGAGAGCAGCTAAATATATTAAGCCAGTATTGACATATTGAAAGGTAAAAAACAGCAACAAAATACTAATAGCCGACTTCAATACCCATCTTTCAAGAACACGTGGATCATCCAGATAGAAAATCAATAGGGAAATATTTGATCTGAACTGCACTTTACACCAAATGGACTTAACAAACATATACAGAAAATTCCATCCAACTACAGCAGAATACACATTCATCTCAAGTAGACACAGAAGATGGTTTAGGACAAATTATATGTTAGGCCACAAAACAAGCCTTACCAGATATAATGAGACTGAAACTATATCAAGAATCTTACTCGGGGCCAGCCCCATGGCGGAGTGGTTAGGTTCGCGCACTCCACTTCGGCGGCCCAGGGTTTTGCTGGTTCAAATCCTGGGCGCAGACATGGCGCCGCTCATCAAGCCATGCTGAGGCAGCATCCCACATGCCACAACTGGAAAGACCCACAACTAAAAATATACAACTATGTACTGGAGCACTTTGGGGAGAAAAAGAAAAATTTTAAAAAATTTAAAAAAGAATCTTACTCGCCTACAAAGGTGTGAAACTCGAAATCAGTAACAAAATGAAAGCTAGATAGTTCATGAATATGTGGACATTAAAACACACTCCTGAACAATCAGTGGGTTAAAGAAAAAAATTGAAATGAAAAATAAAACTATCTTAAGAGAAACGAATTTATCAAAAGCAGTTCTGAGAGTCAAGTTTATAGCAATCAATGCCCACATTAAGGAAAAAGAAAAAATCTCAAATAAGGAGCCTAACTTTACCCCACAAGGAATCAGAAGAACAACAAACTAAGCCCACATTTAGGAGAAGGAAGGAAAAGAACAAAGATCAAAGCAGAAATAAATGAAATACAGACTGGAAAAACAATAGAAAACCAACAAAGCTCAGAGTTGGCTTTTGAAAAGAAATAAAATTCGACAAACCTTTACCTAGACGAACTTAGAAAAGACTCAAATAAATAAAATCAGAACTGAAACAGGAGACATTAAAGCTGATACTGCAGAAACACAAAGAACTTAGACTAGTGTGAACTGGATTGACTAGAAATGGATAAGTTCCTAGAAACATACAATCTATCAAGGCTGAATCATAAGAAACAGAAAATCTGAATAGACCAATAACAAGTAAGGACACCGAATCAATAAACAATATCCCAACAAAGAAAAGCCCAGGACCAGATAGATTCACTGGTCAATTTTACCAAAGATTTTAAGGAGAATTAACATCAATCCTTCCTCAACTCTTCCAAAACACTGAAGAGGACGAAAGATGTCCAAACTCAATTTACCAGGCCAGCATTACCCTCATATCAAAGTAAGATAAGGAAACTACAAGAAAATTAAATTACAGGCCAATATCTTTGATGAACATAGAAGGAAAAATTCTCAACAAAATATTACCAAGGCAAATTCAACAGCATATTCCAAGACTTTGACACTATGATCAAGTGGGATTTATCCCTGGGATGCAAGGATGGTCCATCATATCCAAATCAATAAAAGAGATACACCGTATTAACAGAATGAAGGATAAAAATCACACAACCATTCAGTAGATGCAGAAAAAGCACTTAACAAAAATTGAGCATACTTTCATGTTAAAAACTCAACCAATCAGGTATAGAAGGAACATATCTCAATATAATAAAGGCCATATACAATAAGCCCACACGACCATCATACTGAATGGTTAAAAGCTAAAAGCTTTTCCTCTAAAAGCAACAACAAGACAAAGATGCCCACTCTCCTCACTTCTACTTAACAAGTTCTGAAGACCTACCCAGAGCACTTAGGCAAGAAAAAGAAACAAAAGGCATCAAAATTACAAAACAGGAAGTAAAACTGTCTGTTTGCACAAGACACAATCTTATAGATAGGAAACCCTAGACTCCACCAAAAAAAAACTCTTAGAACTAAGAAACGAATTCAGAAAAATTGCAGGACACAAAATCAACATACAAAAATCAGTTGCGTTTCTACACACTCATGGTGAAATATCTGAATAAGAAATTAAGAGAGCAATCACATTAACAATATCATCAAAAACAATTAAATACGGGGCCGGCCCTGTGGCTGAGTGGTTAAGTTCACACGCTCCACTTAAGCAGTCCAGGGTTTTGCCAGATCAGATCCTGGGCGTGGACATGGCACCGCTCGTCAAGCCATGCTGAGGCGGCATCCCACAGGCCACAACTAGAAGGACCCACAGCTAAAAATATACAACTATGTACCAGTGGGCTTTGGGGAAAAAAAGGAAAACAATGAAATCTTAAAAAAAAAAAATTAAGTACAAATAAATTTAACCAAGGAAGTGAAAGATCTAGCATTGGAAACTGTGAGACACTGATGAAAGAAAGTGAAGACACAAATAAATAGAAAGATATCCCATGTTCTTGGATTGGAAGAATTAATACTGTGAAAATGCTCATATTCCCCAATGTGACATACAAAAATCAATGGAATTTCTATCAAAATTCCAATGGAACTTTTCACAGAAATAGAACAAGAATCTGAAAATGCATATGGAACCACAAACAATCTCAACTAGCCAAAGCCATTTTAAGCAAGAAGATCAAAGCTGGAGCTATCAACTTCCTGATTTCAAGCTACATTAGGAAGCCATAGTAATCAAAACAGCATGGTACTGTTTTGTGTTTGTGTGGTACTGTTTAAAAACACACACAGAGGAATGGAACAGAACAAAGAACCCAGAAAAAGTCCCAGGCATATATGGTGAACTAATCTTTGAGAGAGGTGCCAAGACCACACAATGGGGAAAGGATAGTCTCTTCAATAAATGGTGCTGTGAAAAATGTATATTTACATGCAAAAATATGAAATTGGACCCCTATCATCTACCACTAATAACAATGAACTCGAAATGGAATAAAGAGTTAAATGTGAAACATGAGAATATAAAATCTCTTGGGAAAACATATAGAATAGGCCACTGGACAGTGGTATTGGCAATGATTTTTTTGCATATGACACCGAAAGTCCAGAGGAAAAACATCAAAACTAAACAAGTGGAACTATATCAAACTAAAAAGCTTCTACACAGCAAAGAAACAACCAACAAAATGAAAAGCAACCTTCAGAACAGGAGGAAATATTTGCAAGCCATGGATCTCATAAGGGGAAACTATTTTGAAAGTATAAGGTACTCATACAACTCAACAGCAAAACAATAATCTGATTAAAATACGGGCAAAGGATCCGATTAGACATTTTTCCAAATTTGGTATACAAATGACTAACAGGTATATGAAAAATTGCTCTTCCTCACTACTCATCAGGAAAATGTAAATCAAAACCACAACAAGGTATTACCTCACACCTTAGGATGTCTATTATCACAAAAAGAAGAGACAAGTGATGGCAAGAACGTGGAGAGAGGGAGCCCTTGCATCCTGTTGGTGGGAATGGAAATTGCTAGAGCCATTATAAAAAAGAATATGGAAGTTCCTCGAAAATTTCAAAACAGAACTACCATGATTCAGCAATCCCATTTCTTGGTATATATCCAAAGGAAATGAAATCAGAATGTGGGAGAGATAATCTGTCCTCTCATTTTCACTGCAGCATTATTCACAATACACAAGATATGGAAACAACCTCAATGTCCATAAATGAATAAACAGAGACAAAAGGTGGTATATGCATATGCTAGGATGCACATGCAAATACACATGTACATGTACACACACACACACAAACCCCTCAGGTATTACAAAGCCTTAAAAAAGAAGGAAATCCTGCCATGTGTGACAATACAGATGAATCTGTAGGGCATTATGCTAAGTGAAATAAGCCAGTCAGAGAAAGACAAATACTGTATGATAGTACATGAGGAATCTAAAACAAACAAACAAAACAGGGTGAATTTATAGCAGGTACAATGCAAGGGGCTGAACAGCGAGACAAAGGGGAATTGTTGGTCAAGACGTATGCACCTTGAGTTATAAAATGAATAAGTTCTGAAGACCTAATGTACAACATGGTGATTATAGGTTATAGTACTGTATTTTAGACTTGAAATTTATTGGGAGAGAGTATCGTAAGTTTTCTTACCAAAAAAAGCCAGTAACCATATGAGGTGACAGAAATGTTACTTAACTTGATTATGGATGTGTCATTATTTCATATGGATATTCAATTATTTCATAATGTACACATATATGAAATCATCATATTGTACACCTTGAACACATACCATTTAATAGAACGACAACGCTGGAACAAAAAAAAGAGATCCAAACAATACAAACCCTGTAAGAGGGTCTTAAAAGTAGCCCACGATCCAGGTAAGTAGTGACCATGACAACACCTGCAATTCCACACACAGGCAGGCACGAGGACATGTCAGCTAAAAGAAGCCATCAAACCCTGGGATACAGAAGTGTCATGGATCTGGACACATTTACCCAGCCACAGAGAGGGCAAGCAAGGTGCCATCCACTAGCCTCACTGCAAGACTATTGACCTGGAATCCTTCCCTGTGAGGGCTCAGTACAGAGGGTACTGGGGCTGCAGGGGAGAGAAGAGGGCGGTGCACACACCCAGCCCTAGCAACACAGCACCACCCAGAAAGAAAGAGAAGGATGTAATTCCCACAGTTCACATGTGAGAAGGAAAGAGCACCTCCTAGGGAAAAGGAGTGGGAGGAAATACAGAGCCTAGTCCAGGTCACGGGGAGGGAGAGGGCCTTACCCAGTGAGGATATGAGCGCAAAGTTCTCCAGCATCACATCGTGGTACAAGTCCCTCTGAGCTTCACCAAGGAGCCTCCACTCCTCCCAGGAGAAGTACACAGCAACGTCTCCAAAAGTGACACTGTCCTGTCAGGATGGGGACAGAGGAAACCATGAACTTTCTCCCTCTCAGAACCCACAGGCCCTCACCTCGCACATCTACTCCGCACTCTTCCTCCTCCAGAGCTCCCCACCTCAGAGGGGTTACCAGGCCCTGCTGCCACTGACACCCGCTCTCTCCTCAGGGTCCCAATCATCACTGTGTTCAGCCCTCAGAAATAACAGGCAAGGGGACACACAGATGCCACCCAAGCTCTGGGCCTGGCCGGCAGCGCCCCATCCCTCCTGTCAAGCAATTCCCCTGCATCTTCCAGAGTGTAGCTACAAGACACAGCTAAACGTGGGCTCATGCTTCACCCCTAAGTCCCCACTACACGGGCCTTGGGGCCCTCAGCTCACAATACCTATGTAAATGCAAACCATGATGGAGACACCACATTCTCATGTCTTCAGTCCCCACAGCTCTGCCACCTCCCTGCCCTACAACACGGGCATCTCCCTGCACTCACCCATGGACGAGACACATGGCACCCAGAGAGCGCTTCACAAACTCAAACACAATCCAGTACCTTCCCAGTCCTCGGATGGATCCCACAGCCAGGGAAAGCCCCAGATGCTGCTTTGAAGGCCTCCCCACCTGCCTCTGATCCTTGCTTCAAGATCAGCCACCCAGAACCACATGTGAATTTCAGATACCCATGACCCTCCTCCACTTCTGTGATGCACTTTCTGTCCTCTCAGCAGCCACAATCTGCCTCTCCCCACTTAATCTCCCTTAAAACCCCACCCGTTACAATCTCCCTGCCAGGCACAGTGACTTTCACAACTGACTACATTCACCCCAGATCTTACCCACCAGCAAGACTCGAACACCCCAGACCCCTCACGGCTCAACACACAATTCTGGTGAATGTGAACAGTAGAGAATTCGCAGGAGCCCCAGTCTGTCAACTTGTCTCATTTACTCCTCTGCCTCTGAAGGCATCTTCCACCGACTCATCCCATGGAAGCCTTGGCCACCTGCCAGATCGTGCTCTCTCCCACACCTTTCCATGGGGACAGCCCTCCCTCACCTGTGTTTCTCATACTCAGGTACCTCAACCAGGTGCTAAGCAACAGAACCATTCCTCAGCATGCACCCCAGTCTTTCTGACTCGCTAACAGCATTATCACTATATCCCGAATTCCACTTCTCAAATGTGATCCACAGCTCCACCCGGGTCCACACAAGAGCCACAGTAGCCATTTGAAAGTCTCCATCCTGAACCCCTCCCCAGATTTCCAGACCTGCCCACTTGATGCCTCCGCTCACTGTTCTGAAACATGTCAGACTCTTTAACAGGGCCCGAATAAAACTTCTGACATTCCCAAGGAAAATAAACGTACCGACAACTTCCACATCCCACTTGATGGAGCTTCCATCCCTTCAGCGGCTACAACCCAAAACCCTGGAGTCACTCCAAACTTCTTCAACTTTGTAGCTGTTGGCACCATCAAGTCAATTCAGACTCCTGGAGATCCTGTGTACATCAGAGTAGAGCCCTGCCCAGTCTTTTTTGCTCCATCTTCTCAACTTCCTGAGCCATGACAGACAATACTCCACTGCTAATCATAGAGTTTTCATGCCCAATTATTTGGAAACGGGTGGCCAGGTCCTTCTTCCTATTCTGCCTTAACCTGGAAGCTCTGCTAAAATCTGTCCACCATGGGTGACCCTACTGGTATCTGCAGTGTTGGTGGCATAGCTTTCAGCATCACAATCATAAGCAGCCACCATATTATGACATGTGACAGAAACGTCATGTGGTTCCCTGACAGAAACAAACTCAGGCTGCGGCAGTGAGAGTGCAGAATCTCAATCACTGGACCACCATATGCTGGTTATCTATTCCTGGGATAACCTTCCACACCTGTTTATCCTGGTGGCCAGAAATCGGAACACCTCTACGACCCTGGGCCTGCACTCAGAACACAGGGTTTGGGGGTATCCTCAGGGTCCCCGCACCCGAGAGCTGTGAATGCAGCAAGTGAAGAGTCTCAAGACGCCACAATCACGGACATCACACGGCTGGTGTTAGTACCACTGAGGGGTTGGGACACCCTCTCCTTCCCTGTGCAAGTTCTGTAAATGCTTTTTCTGTCCCAAAACCTGTGGGGAGAGGCAGGCCACTACGGCTGGACCCCGCCCCGCCCTGCGACCCGGTGACCTCGGCTTCACTCACTGACCTCCGGGCCTCAGTCCTCAGAGCCGCCTCGGACCAGCTCTGCGCCCTCGGACCAGGACTCCGCTCCCTGCGCCTCCCCGGCCTCCTCACCCCTTCCCGTCCGTTCTCTCCGAGCAGCTCCTGGACAACTTTTTAAACCCCAACACGCACCGCGTCCCTCTCTGGTCACAGCCCTCCCTGCACCGGGGCCCTCGGACTGAAGGAGCAGCCCCTCCCCTGCCGGTGCAGGGGGCACCCCTCCTCACACCGTCCCCTCCGGCCCCTCGGCCCGGGAACCCCGCCCGCAGCCACATGTCCACATGTCCCACGAGCGCCTCCCCGGCCCGGCCCCGGGGCCTGGGCTGCAGGCCCGGGAGCAGCGCCCGCCCGAGGGCTGGAGCTCGGGCTGCGCTGCGGGCGGGGCGGGCCGGAGCCGAGCGCTCACCTGAGCCGGCTCCCTCCGCGCGGCCGCCGCCATCGGCCTCGGGGGCGGAGCGGGGCCGGGAGCGGCGGGAGACGAGGCGCCGGGTGCGGCGCTCCCTGGCCCGGGCCTGGCGCGGGGCTCCGGGCGGCGTCGCCGAGCCTCAGAGTCAAGCGGACGGCGCCGCCTCTCGCGCCTTCTTGGTCTCGTCACCTCGATATGTGACACAGCGGTGCGGAACCAGAACAAAGCCAGAACGGCCAAAATAGTCGCCTCCTCGAGGACACCGGAAGTGCCGCCCCGAGGAGGTCAATTCGCACGGAAATGCCTTCACCCTGATCTTTGATTGGCTCATCTGAGCACCGGTCCTTCCGGGTAATGTAGTTCCCAGCGTTCTCGAGACCGTAGGGAAGGGTGTTCTGCATCCGGACCCGCGAACAGTGAGGAATGCTGAGAATTGCTGCCCTCACTCAGAAAGAGGGGCTTTCCTCCTTGTTAGAGGGAGTGAACACACGTAATTTCAGACTCGCTGAAACTCACCCTGCTCCCACAGGATAAAACGATTATCTGAGATGCTCCCAAATCTACTGATCCACATTGTCATGTCATTCCAGAGTCGGTCTGACATAAAATGAGTCCCCGCGTAGCTGGGCACATTATGTTATTGCTTTTCAAATGCATGCAGCCTGAGGTAATAGTCAGTTTTGTAATTTCTATTAAATTAGCTAGGTTCGAGAGAAGAGACTCCGTACAGGGCCATGACTGGGAGGAAAGAAGAGGGCTATTGTGAATTAGGTGGACAAGCGGGAGTTCTACCTCTGGTTCCCACAGAAAAGCTCTCTCTTGCCTGTAGGGTCAGTGATTGTGTCCTAACCACTGAGGAACAATTTTCTCTATATAACACTTCCTACTCCATATCCTAAGATATGCTCAATTCCTTTTAGTGAAGAGACATCTATCTCAAACGGAGAGCTCCTTACCTAATACTGTTTTGGTATGGGTCATTGGTTGCAGCTCTCATAGTCACAGCACGCACGTGTGGCAAGAGATTATCACAACACCAATATAAACGGGGCATCTTAAGCGCGTGATCTAATGTCCTTGATGCTAATTATCATTTACCAGTGATTGCAGGTACAATTCTTCCTGAGGAACTGATATTATTCAGAAAATCAGCTATGAAATGCAAGTTTCAGAAAGTTACTCAGAATGTTTATGTAGTTATTCAAAGATAGTAGCAGAAGTGGCTCTGGGGACATATCAGAGGAGATTGAAGAAAATTAACACTTCAGAGAAGTTTTGGTAGGGCTTTTATTCTTGAAAACATTAAGCAATACCAGCTGGGAGAAAGAACTGAAATGGACATTAAGAGCAGCCAAATTAATAAAAATGAACAAGAATTTGAGGTGTCAATGTTTATTCACGGCTCTAACAAATGTCCATTGGGCAAATACTCAAAATCAGACAATGTTGTTGCAGATGAGAGACCTCACAAAGACCTCTGCGCTCATGCAGCTTACATTCTTCTATGAACACAGACAGGAAAACGGAAAGAAAAAGTATGCTAATATAAAGTGGGTTATTGTGATAGAAAAAAAGTTAAAAGACTTACCTAAATATCGTCTAAGTCAGATCTGAGTGAGACTCAAAGTACAATTCATCCTGAGGCAAAATTCCTCTCTAGCTATGAACCTGAGAACCCAAAAGCCAGGTGTTTTCAGAATACAACGGTGACACAGGCATGGGATACACATTTCCATTTGAAAAGGGAAAAAGAGGGAAAAAAGGAGTGTGGGGTCCCAGGTAGGTCGAAAACCTACCAAGGCAAAGTTCCTGAGATAGTGAGATCTTATGGCTTAGGAATAATCCTCTTTGGCTGGATGCTCGAACTTCTAGAGGCACTGGGGCAGTAGGCCTGTCCCTGCCGCTGTGCTGGATGAGATTCTTGCCCCAGGGATCTGCCTCATGGGAATCCCACTCCCAGGGTTCTGGTTGCTTCTTCCACCACTGAGACATTGGGGTGGGGGAGGAGGTAAGAGAATTATATTGGTTTTGTATCCATTTTGAAACAGGGCAGCCCAGATTTTCTGATTGTGATGGTGAGAGAGAGAAAGGTAGGAGTCAGGGATGACTCCAAGATTTTTGGTGTTAGCACCTCTGAGGATAGAAGTTCCATCAACTGAGATGGGTGTTCCATAGTGGGGGTAATTTTCAATGGGGTATCTGCAGTTTTCTTTTTAGTTAAATTGCGGGTATGAGATATTTCAGAGCACAAAGGAGTGGAGTTATTTAGCTGGCAGCTGCACACACAGGTCTGCAACTATGAGAAGGGCTTCTAGACAGACACATCTACAAAAGGTGGTGAACGGTGTGTGCACCAGGGGGAGCTTCTAGTGACATTTGTAGAAATCCGAGACATGATGGTAATGCTAAGAGCAAATCAGGAAGGGGAGGGTGGGTGCCACAAGTGCATGTCTAGCCTGGATACCTGGGTGGGGGTGGGGACATCACAAGCACAGGTGTGGCACAGAGGATGATCTGGCAGGGGACCACAGCTTCTGAGGAATGAGTGCACATGAACAGGCGTGGAGGCACAGGTGTAATTGAGGTAAGATGACACCGAGGCCTGCTGTTTATTCCCTGCTCTGCACAGTCACCAGGATTTTGTTGTGAACTCTGGTGGGGTCTGAGGTGCTTCACTAAGGCTGGCAGATTAGCTTAGGGGCACAGTGGCACTCTAGTAGAACAACTGGGCCTGAGGCGGAAGGACGGGGTCCAGGCTTCAAATGAGAGTTAGGTGGAAGAGAAAGGCTGTGACTGGTTTTTGGACAGAAAGTACAACACAAGGGGAAGAGAGCTGTGTGTATTTGAGACTGGAGGTTGTTCACAGTGCCTGAGGATGAAGCAAGGAACAGACTCAGGAGGGAGGCCTTCATAGGCCTTCCTCTGGGTGACGTTTCCTGAGGGCTGCCTCTGCTAAAACTGCGGATGTTGTCACAGATCACTATGTACATGAAACAGGTGCTGTTCTTATAAGAACCTCTTTTGCGAGTTTCACGGTATTATATTGTTTTTCTCATTTCCTGTTGTGTGTTGAGTTGCTCTGAGCCACAAACCAGTCCTTTCATCAGCTGGCATCTTTTGTCCCTCCAGCTTTATGACAGAGGAATGTCTTTTTCAAGAACCTGCGAGCTATTTCTTTAAACTGGAAACATCCTGAGAGCCATTTTTGAAACACAAACATCATCAGAGAGACCTGTCCAATCTCCCAGTTCCAGTGAAGGAAAGGAGCCACCCTCAGTGCTCCCCTTGCTGCAATTTGGAAAACAACCTCCTGTTTTCCAAAGATTTGACATGTCTTTTTTCCCAAAAAGACATGTTTGGCTTTCCTCTGAATGAAGCCAAAAACCTACCACAGAAAGTCATGTCAATTACCAGGTAAAGTTAGGAGCAACTCTGAGTGACAAATGGTGCTGTCAAGTCCTCTTACTTGAGGACTCCTTACTTTATATCTTGAATATATGTGTGTAATGGGTTCTATCTTCTTGTGTATATACAGGGGTGAGATTTCTTTCTGTCTGCAATCTCATAGCAGATTGTGATGGGCATCAAACTCTGATTTCATGTTTATTTAATAATAAACCTGTTTTGTCTCTACTATCATTGTGGAGAGGGTTTCTAGATTGGGAAAAGATTTTGTTCTTATTTCCCCAAAGTCTTCATCACCCACCTGTCTGATGAGGTTAAACCTCCTCACCCATTTCATCAATATCTAGTGAACAGGATTATGGAGGAGGGTGATCAGTTAAACCATATTGGATTCAAGAAGCCACATCTAGATGTGACAAATTCTAATGAACAAATCACTCAGCAACTTCAACAGATAAATAAAAAGAATAAAAAAGGTAAGTGATACTATAGGTTAAGAGATTTATGGGACACAGCTCCCGAAAGCCGTCAGGATACACTTAGGATCCTGACTAAAATTCATCTGACTTAAGAAGCAAACTTGGGGGCCTGCCCAGTGGCACAGTGGTTAAGTTTGCACGTTCCGCGGCGGCCCGGGGTTTGCTGGTTCAGATCCCAAGTGTGGACATGGCACCTCTTGGCAAGCCATGCTGTTGTAGGCGTCCCACATAGAAAGTAGAGGAAGATGGACACGGATGTTAGCTCAGGCCCAGTCTTCCTCAGCAAAAAGAGGAGGATTGGCAGCAGGTGTTAGCTCAGGGCTAATCTTCCTCAAAAAAAAAATAAAAGAAGCAAACTTATCTGTGAGACAAAAGAGAAAATGGAGCATGGATAAGATAATTGCCATATTTTAAAATATTTTTGTTTCGTGTAATAGTTATTGGGTGTATGAAGACACCTCTCATTTCAAACATGCATTCTGGAAAGATTATGCATTAAATGATACAATGTTTGGAATTATAAGTAATATATTCCACTCCTGTACATGGTGAGAGATGAAACAAGAACAGCTATGAAATGATAGATAATGACAGAAGATTGGGGAAGGGTACATGTGGCTTCATGCTGCTCTTTTTCATTTTTCTGTATATTGAAAATAGTCACAACAAAACATAGAATATATCATTGCATCTGTATTTTTACATGTTGTGAAGGATGCATTTAAAAAGGTTGGAGGGACGACATGATCTTATATATAGAAAACCCCAAAGAATCCATTGGAAAACTCTTAGAAGTAATCAACAACTACAGCAAAGTTGCAGGGTATAAAATCAATTTGCATAAATCAGTAGCATTTCTATATTCTAATAATGAGCTAACAGAAAAAAAACTCAAGAACACGATACCATTCACAATTGCTACAAAAAGAATAAAATACCTCGGGGTGGATTTAACTAAGGAAGTGAAAGACCTATACAATGAACATTACAAGGCCTTTCTGAGAGAATTGGATGACGACATAAGGAGATGGAAAGACATTCCATGTACATGGATTGGAAGAATAAACATAGTTAAAATGTCCATTCTACCTAAAGCAATCTACAGATTCAATGCTATCCCAATCAGAATCCCAAGGACATTCTTTACAGAAATAGAACAAAGAATCCTAAAATTCATATGGGGCAACAAAAGACCCCGAATTGCTAAAGCAATCCTGAGAAAAAAGAACAAAGCTGGAGGCATCACAATCCCTGACTTCAAAACATACTACAAAGCTGCAGTAATCAAAACAGCATGGTACTGGTGCAAAAACAGGTGCACAGATCAATGGAACAGAATTGAAAGCCCAGAAATAAAACCACACATCTATGGACAGCTCATCTTCGACAAAGGAGCTGAGGACATACAATGGAGAAAAGAAAGTCTTTTCAACAAATGATGCTGGGAAAACTGGACAGCCATATGTAAAAGAGTGAAAATTGACCATTCTTTTTCACCATTCACCAAAATAAACACAAAATGGATCAAAGACCTAAAGGTAAGACCTGAAACCATAAGGCTTCTAGAAGAAAACGTAGGCAGTACGCTCTTTGACATCAGCATCAAAAGGATCTTTTCAGACACCATGTCTTCTCAGACGAGGGAAACAATAGAAAGAATAAACAAATGGGACTTCTTCAGACTAAAGAGCTTCTTCAAGGCAAGAGAAAACAGGATTGAAACAAAAAAACTACCCATCAATTGGGAAAAAATATTTGCAAGTCATATATCCAACAAAGGGTTAACCTCTGTACTATATAAAGAACTCACACAACTCAACAACAAAAAATTAAACAAACCGATCAAAAAATGGTCAGGGGACATGAACAGGCATTTCTCCAAAGAAGATATACAGATGGCCAATAGGCACATGAAAAGATGCTCATCATCATTAATCATCAGGGAAATGCAAATCAAAACTACACTAAGATATCACCTTACACCAATTAGAATGGCAAAAATAACCAAAACAAAAAGTGACAAATGTTAGAGAGGTTGTGGAAAAAAAGGAACCCTCATACACTGCTGGTGGGAATGCAAACTGGTGCAGTCACTATGGAAAACAGTATAGAGATTTCTCAAAAAATTAAAAATAAAAATACCACATGACCCAACATCCCACTACTGGGTATCTATCCAAAGAACTTGAAATCAGCAATTCCAAAAGTCCCATGCACCCGTATGTTCATTGCAGCATTATTTACAATAGCCAAGATGTGGAAGCAACCTAAGTGCCCATCAATGGATGATTGGATAAAGAAGATATGGTGTATATATATACAATGGAATACTACTCAGCCATAAAAAGGATAAAATTGTCCCATTCACAACAACATGGATGGACCTTGAGGGTATTATGTTAAGTGAAATAAGCCAGATAGAGAAAGACAATCTCTGTATGACTCCACTCATAGGTGGAAGTTAAACATGTAGACCAAGAGA